ACGAATTCGGACAGTACGCGTCGAATCAACCTCTGCTGCACATCGGTTGATACTCTCGCTGTACTGACTTTGCGCACACTTTGAGGTATCCTCGTAATAACCTTATTAATATACATCTAGCACCAATGAATCATAAAGTTTGTCATGTTAGACAATCACCCCCATGAATGTACCATATAAGACCAGAATTTTATTATCCCTTGTTTCGCGAACCCGCCAAATGAACAGGAGCTGAAAATGAAATAAAAATCTAATTTAATTTCTCGCGCCCGCCGACTTGTAAGTGCAAAAAATTGCCGAAAAAAAAACTTATTTTTATCTTCATTTTTTTTTCGCATAACAAACCCAAGTTGCATTTTCGTGGGAGTATCAAAGTACTGAAGTCTCGCGCAGATGAGAAACAACGTTATACATGGAATAACATTTTAATTCATTTCTTCTCTCCGATCAATGATCTCACTCACAATTCTTTAAGAATCACAAAAATCTAATTAATTTTCTTTTTTTTCCGCCCTCCTCAAAAAAATTGCCTTATAAAAACTCGCGAAACAAGGAAAAAAAGTCTGGCCTTAGTGAAAATAAATTCCATACAAAACACCTAAAAAGATTTTCCATCAAAAATTAATTCCAGTTAAAATAAAATATGTCCCATTAAATTATGTCTACAAGCTGATAATGATATACCGTATTTGACCGATTAAGTGCCTCTAGACACCAACTCAGAAATTTGTGATATTACGAGGCTACATTGTGTGGCAGGTTTGGGGGGATTATTACGTATCATACAGAAATAAAATATCCTTTTATGAATTGATTTGCGTCAATAACCTTTTTAATCACAATGTTTGTAATACCAATGAAATAGCAATGGTAAAAAAATATATTGTAGTTCCTTGAGTTCCTGAACCCTATTCGCAAAATCTGCATAATGATCAACTTATGAATATTCATGATCAACTTATGAATATTCATGATCAACTTATGAATATTCATGATCTAACTCAAAACATAATATATGGACCATATCTCCTTATAACCGCCATCACATTCAGAACAGCTCGATTTGTAGCGTGTCTGACAGATCGTCGCTATGTGAGCTTTGATTTTTTTTTTGTATGTTATTCTCAATACAGTAAAGATTAAAAGTATTTCATCTTTGATGTGATTTGTATACAAATTTTGGGATAATTTATGAGAGGACAGGAGTCAGATTCAGAAGCAGACATCTGTTTTAGAAACACTATGGTTTTTGAGTGACATCTCTCTCCCTGCCCAATAAACAATATGTCATTTTCAGTATTAAAAAATTGTCAATCTCATTATCCATCCCCCCCCCCCAACAAATTTAAACAATGATTCTTAACAAATTTTGCTCAATTTTGGTTAAAAGATGTGAAGTTAGAGCACTGAGAAACTGCTGTATTTACATCAGTTTTCATCGCTCCCAACTCCAAGGTGCGACATACAGATATCACCATGGTTACATCCATTAGTATCCTTGTTCCCAGTTGACGAGGTAATCCACCTTCTCCATTCTCATACTTCAGATAGTTTTTGTGAAAAAATTTCACTACCTGTAAAATATGATACAAATTAATTACTACAGAGAAACTCTAAGCAGATACTCTAAGTAGCTTAATTTTCACTGCTAGGAGTTATCATAATTTGATGGAATTCATGAAAACAAAATTTTGTGACAGACATACAAAGACACTTTGTGTTGTGGATATATCACTGCTATAAAGTTTCAGGATTTTTTACAGATTCAGAAAATTTGTCTCTCGTAAAATTCTAGCAGTTTATAGTAGTATGCATTACATAGGAAAGAAGATTAATGATTGTCACCAAATTTGGAATAATTGACATGCATATTCTTGGGGGCAAGGCTACGTCACAGAACATTCTAAGATGCAAAGAGCCACCACTGTATTCTTGGGGCGGAGCTACATCACAGAATGTTCTAA